GGGGGCACCCCACTGAAGTTGGGGACTGTGTGCAGTCCTTACGTGCACTCTTCCAGGGGAACGAGGCAAACCCTGAAATGTCTGCAACCCATCCCACAAAAACTCGGGTGAGCGGGGCCCTGGAGTTCACGGGGCTGGGGGATACGGCCAGTTGAAGGGCTTTCAAGGGAAAAAGAAAACTCAGATGAGTTCGCGGGATTAGCTCGCTCCCCGCCACCTTCGAGAACCCCCAACTCCCACCCAGGGCGCACCCTGCCCCCGGGACCCCCACCCCAGCCCACAGCGTGCTCTCACCCAGGCGGGAACGCCACAGGTGAACTCTCTGGGAGCGGGCCCACCTGCCAGACCTCTGCAACCCCGGGGCAGCTCCGGGTCCTCCCGCAGAGGTAGCTCCACCTCCATGCGGTGATTGATCAGGGAGGGTGGTGCCCCGAGCCCATTGGATGCCGCGCCTGCTTCTACCGGCCAACCCGCCCTCACGCCCGGGGCTCCCCGCGACCGCAGGTGGTCCAGGAGGCCCCTCCTCAAGCCAGCACCTGGCTGGGCGGTGCCAGCATGGGCGGGGGTTATGGGCAGGGTCCGCCCCAGGCACACACCCAGCCCATTCTGCGGACGCCTCTGGCTGCAGACCACCCCCAGAGCCCTGCCCCTTCCCTTCCTGCACCAACCCTGCCTGCAGAGCTGTTCCTGGCCCCCCGCAAGGTCAGCCACACTCGGACCTTCCGAGGCTTTGGGCTTTAGGAAATGCAATGGTTTCACGCATTTCCAAGGCAGTTTTAAACCCAAAAAGTAATTCTCTAGGCGAGAAGAGCTTCACTTTCTGGTCTCACCCATGGAGTGGATAGTGCTTCTTGGACCTTCAAAGCATCCTTGTAGGATGAGCCCGTTGATGCTGGAATATATATATACATATGCTTGGTTCTGCAGGGAAGCTCCAGGATGAAGAACACCCGCCCTTCTGTTCTGTTGGGGTGTCGTGAACCAGGAACATTTATTTTTCACTTAAAAAGAAAACGTATTGTTATTGTCGACACTAAATGAGCAAACCCTTTTAAACAGTTGAGAGAGAAAGGAAGAGAGTTTTATTCAAACCCACCTCAGGACAGCTGCCTGGGAGACACAATCTTCAGAAAGGAGGGAGTGCTCCGGGGAAGGAACATCTGGGGCAGGTTTATATATTTGTTCTGTGTTGTTTTACATACAGAGTTACACATCGTCATGAGGGAGAACGTTCCAGAAATTTATAGACTTCTTCCTATGTTTTCCGTTTGTGCAAGTCGGTATGACTTTAATCTTATGGGAGCCAGAGAGGTTCTTCCGTTTTTCTTATCTTTATGTTTGCAATGGCATTTCTGGGTTATCTTTTTCTTCTCAAAGAAGATGTACAATATGTACTTGGGACAGAAATAGGACCCACGCTCTGAGGTTTTGCCCATTCGGAGCTTGGTAAAATGTTAAAGGATAGCTTCTCTGGGAGCCCAGGATCCAGGTCCATGGATGGTAAAGGATAAAAATTTCCATTATCATTAGAATTACTACTCAAGGGAGGAACTTGAGACAAAAGTACCTTTAACGATAGTACCAAGAAATCAAAATGATGCCTACAGAAGTTTACCTGTTCCATGGTCCACACGGGTAACAGAGGGGTTCAGAGACGCTGGGCTCCTCCCCTTCTCCTGCCCAAATCTCTGAAGCACACAGATAACTTAAAGTCAGAATTTTAGAACTACTAGACATCTTAGAGATGTCTGGCACCATTCCCTTAGACTACAGAATAAAACAGAGTAGTTCATTTTCACAGCACTAATGGAAACATGAAGTTCTCCTAAAGCTTGGATACACTGTCTCAGTTCTTTCCTTGCTGATTTTGACTAATGTAAGTCATAGTCATACCATATAAACACTATGATGGTTGGGAAGGAAATAATCGTAGCTAAGGACTATTTTAGCTGTGTTTATAAGCACTGTCTCACTTCGTAGAAGAGGCTGAGCTGAGTGTTTTTAAATACTATTTTAGACCTGTCTTACGGTACACTCTGATCATACCAGAGCCTGAACCAATTAAAAAAAGATAGTTCTTTCAGTAACTGTAATATTAGAAAAATATTATAATGTCTCTATTCCTAGAGATCTTGGAGTATCTCACTCAAAGATCCTTCAATTACGATGGGCAGAGGTTAAAAGGCCAACTGAATTCATTCCATTTGGCCACACAACATAAAATTCCTGATCCTTGATATGTTTCCAGATAGAGAAGACCAGAGATAAGAGGGAAATAGCAGGGCACATGGGTGGCTCAGTTGGTTAAGTGACTGCCCTCGGCTCAGGTCATGATCCTAGAGTCCCAGGATCAAGTCCCAAATCAGGCTCCCTGCTCGGCGGGGAGTCTGCTTCTCCCTCTAACCCTCCCGCTCTTGCGCTCTGTCATTCTCTCTCTCTCTCAAATAAATAAATAAAACCTTAAAAAAAAAAGGGGGGAAATAGTACCGTGTATGGAATAACAAGGGATTTGGAGTCAGTTTGAAGATCCCACTTATGTCTCTGACACTCAAATCCTCTGTGACTCGTATCGTTTCTGAGCCCCTGTCTAACCATCTAGAAAATGTGACTAATAATACCTACCTCATAGTTTAGAAGTTTAAGAGGGAGAATTCCACAAAGAGCCAGTGTGATGGCGCTCAACGGCAGGTGCTCAGGAAGCCATAATTACTATTTGGATCTATTTCTTTTCCAGATAAATGGACACGTGTTGAAACCCTATTTCTAATAGATGACTCACAAGATGATTTTCAAACCTTAAGGAAGGTCAAGAAGCTGCTATTGTGTCATCTTTCACTCAGAAATCATGTTGTTGGACTGGTGAGGACAATACAATAGCACCATCGTCACTAGGAATGTGGAGCTTCCCATTTCCATATGGCCATGTTGTCCCCCTTAGCTCAGGGCCACCAGAAAGGGCAGCTTGGGTGGGAGACACCATCATCACTAGGAGTGTGGAGCTTCCCATTTCCACATGGCCATGTTGTCCCCCTTAGCTCAGGGCCGCCAGAAAGGGCAGCCAGGAGCGACCACATACCAAGGCTGCCAGGTGTGGCTGAGGCAGGTAGAACTCGGACTTAAGCCTCAACTCCTGTCTACCTTATTTATAGTGCTCTTCATGGATAGAATGCCGTTGTCTGTGAGCTCTGATGTAGGAAAGATCGAGAATTTCCATTGTGATTCCCTCTCTGACCCTTAGGATATGTAGCAAAGTTACATTTAAGTTTTAAACATTGAGGGACTTCCTGGTTTTCTTTTCATTATGACTATGGCTCAATTCCCTTGTGGTCAAAGAATATAATCTAGTTAATTTCAGGCTTTTAAAATGTATAGACTTGATTCATGGCCCAACGTATCGTCTATTTGGATAAATATTCTAGGACCACTTGAAAATAATGTATTCTGCACTTACTATGTAATGTTCCATATATGTCAAATAGGTCACATTTCTTACCAATGTTTTGTCTGTTTTTCTATCGGATATTGCGAAAGGTATACTAAAATCTTCAAACAATGCTACTCTAGTCAACATTACTTTGGAGAATCTCCCAAGTGTTATAAGCCAAGAGAAACAAAAAGAATACCCATTGAGGAGATAATTGTGACTATTCACAGATAAGATGATGGTGTACATAGAAAATCCAAAGTAGTCTATAAATACACTATTAGAATTAAAAATGGAAAACTTGCAAATCTTAGAACCAAGGAAGCAATACAGAAAGCAGCCAGGGGGAAGAGATTTCTTATGTACGGAGGGAGGAACATCAGAATAATGTCAGAATAACACCAGGGAACTGGCAAGCCAGAAAGGGCTGGAAAGACATGTTCACAGTACTAAATGAGAACATGCAGCCAAGGATACATAGCCAGGGAAATGTTGCAAAAGAAAACCAAACTTGGGGCATCACAATGCCTGACTTCAATCTATATTACAAATCTGTGACAGGATGGTATTGGCACAAAAACACATACATCAATGGAACAGAATAGAGACCCCAGAAATGGACCCTCAACTCTATGGTCAACCAATCTTTGACAGATCAGGAATGAATGTCCAATGGAAAAAAGACAGTCTCTCCAATAAATGGTGCTGGGAAAAGTGGACAGCCACATGCATAAGATTGAAACTCGACCATTCTCTTATATCATTCACAAAGATAAACTCAAAATGGATGAAAGACCTCAAAGTGAGACAGGAGTCCATCAAACTCCTAGAGGAGAACAGAGGCAGTAACCTCTTCGACATCGGCCACAGCAACTTCTTTCAAGACATGTCTATAAAGGCAAGGGAAACAGAAGCAAAAATGAACTTTTGGGACTTCATCAAGATAAAAAGCTTCTGCACAGCAAACGAAACAGTCAACAAAACTAAGAGGTGACCCAATGGGAGAAGATATTTGCAAATGACATCACAGTTGAAGGGCTGGTATCCAAGATCTATCAAGAACTCAAACTCAACACCCCAACAACAACAACAAAATAATAATAATCCAATAAGAAACGGGCAGAAGACATGAACAGACATTTCTCCAAAAAAGACATAAAAACGACTAACGTTTACCATCACTAGCCATCATGGAAATTCAAATCAAAACCACAATGAGATACCACCTCACACCAGTCAGAATGGCTAAAATTAACAAATCAGGAAATGACAGATGTTGTGAGGATGTGGAGAAAGAGGAACCCTCCTTACACTGTTGGTGGGAATGCAAGCAGGTACAGTCACTCTGGAAAACAGTATGGAGGTTCCGCAAAATGTTAAAAATAGAACTACCCTACTAACGAACAATTGCACTACTGGGTATTTCCCCAAAGATACAGATGTAGTGAAAAGAAGGGGCACCTGAACCCCAATGTTCATAGCAGCAATGTCTGCAATAGCCAAACTGTGGAAGGAGCCAAATTGCCCTTCAACAGATGAATGGATAAAGATGTGGTCCATATATACAATGGAAGATTACTCAGCCATCAGAAAGGATACATACCTACAATTTGCACTGACGTGATTGAACTGGAGGGGATTATGCTAAGTGAAATAAGTCAAGCAGAGAAAGACAGCTATCATATGGTTTCACTCATATATGGAACATAAGGAATAGTGTGGAGGACCACAGCGGAAGGGAAGGAAAACTGAATGGGAAGAAATCAGAGAGGGAGACAAATCACGAGAGACTCTGGACTCCAGGAACCTAACTGAGAGTTACAGAAAGGAGGGGGGTGGGGAGATGGGGTATCTGGGGGTGATGGGTATTAAGGAGGGCACATGTTGTGATGAGCACTGGGTTATATGCAAATAATGAGTCATTGAACACTACATAAAAAACCAAAGATGTACT